GGGTTTCAAGAGAGGGAGAATGCACCTCAAACTGATAGGATGCCAATTGATTCGAAGAGCCAGGTACAACTATTTTGTATATTTTAAATTTTAAGAAAATAATGATATGAATAATATTGTAAGATATATGAAGTAATTTCTTCCCAATTTAGGTTGAACCTAACTCATAGTGTTAAACAGTAAACCTATAAACCTAGTGGCCTGCAAGCCGAGGTGCAAATGTTTTCTAATTTCTAATTTTTTTTTTTTTGAACAATGAAAATTTTCTTCAGGGATGGGAAAGGAGACCTGAGATTAAACCCAAATTCAACTAGTTCTAAGCACGTCCTACCTTGCAGGGAGCCGAATTGACCTCCAAGTGCTGGCCTCTAATTTCTAACTTTTAAAAGGTGAAAGAGATAAATATTAATATATTCCCAACAGCATTAAGGCAGCCGTTCATTGTTCTTAGGTTTTCCTAGTTAGTTAGTCTTCCATTTATTCTTACTCTTTCTGTTTTAAAACAGTGGCCACTTTTTTTTTTTCAAATTAAAAATTTAAAGAAAATTTGTGTGTATCTATATTTTTTTTTTTTTTTTGACAGGGAGAAATTTGTTAGAGTGTTAGTATCTGTGTTAGTGGTGGGATTTGAACTGAGGAAGCTGCACTCCACCGGCTGCCCAGTGGGCAGCAGTGGCCATTGGGCCACAGCAGGGGAGTGCGTGTGTATCTATATTACTTGTTTAAAAAAAAATAAAACATAAACATTTGTAATAAGATGAATAATTAAAGTAAATGAATAATTATAGAATTAAAGCAAAAAATATATATATTTGTTTACTTTAAAAAATAAAAAAATAACAATTAATTTAAAACAACTTCAAAATAAAGAACACTATTATAGATACACTCCAATTCAATATACTCCATAATACAATCATCAAAAATCAAAAATATTTTTTGATATGGAATTAAAAGCAAAAAAACTTAAAAATTTAGTCATCCATATAATATAGAGAAACTAGTTGAATAAGTTGTATCTATATTATATTTTAGTAAGTGAATTAACTAAGTGTTGGTGATGTGCCAAATTAGAGGATATTCGAATTATTTTTTCAAAATAAAAAAATATAATTATTTTGGGAATAATGAAAGAGGTGATTAAAGAAAAATAATAGAGAAGGAAGGATAGAAAAAAGGGAATATAACAAATAAATTATTAATATAGAAAGGGAAAGTGAGTGCAAAATTATAAATATAATAACAAAAATTGAGGAGATTTAAAAGATGGTGCCACATGAAAAAATAATGAGAGGTGGTGTAATGGCGCCAATGAAATAAGAGAAATAATTGGTATAATTTTTAATTTATCATATTTGTCAATACTCATTGATTTAGTTATTAATTAATCAAACTACTCACAATTTTAGAGCCTAGTATATATGGAAAAAAGTATTTGTTCGACTAGGCTTATAAAAATTAAGAAAAAAAAATAAAAATACTAATTTCAATTAATTTTTATTAAAAGAATACTAAAATAAGCTATTTTTAAATCAATACCCAGTTAGTCAATCTTCCACTTATTCGTAATTAGTTTTCCATGTATTATTCCTAGTGCTTTCCTTGACTAGTTATCCTCTTTCTTTCTTTCTCAACTAAAATGAGGAAAGTTGCAAGACTGCATTATAGCATATTGTTGGTGCTGTCTACACGTTTTACGTTTTCTAGAAAGGCATTTCTACTTTCTCAGTAGTCAATAGAAAATGCAGAACAGCGATTACTTGACCCCACTGGCCGTGTTCCATACAAGGAATAGCCATTCCAAGAAAATGTGGTAGTTTTGCCCTTTAGTTATTTTTTCGGGGCTGAAGTTACTTTGCATTTCGTTAGGACAAGGGAATCGGCTGCTTAGGGAAACTAAGTTATGTGAATCAAAGAAAACAGGCACCTAATTAAATAGAAGTAGTTGTTAGGATTTAAGGTCCGTTTGGTAATTCATTCGAAATTGATTTCCAAAAATTATTTTTCATGTTTTATTGTGTTTAGTTATCATTTAAAAAATAACTCAAAAAAATTTATTTCCGTCAACAAAAAATGCATTTATAGTTTTCTGAAAAATTAATTTCAGTCCTGACAACCAAACGGAAAATCATTACCTTCACCCCAAATTGAAAATAAGAAAAAAAATAAAGGAAAATGCTTGACCTAACAAGCAAGGAAAGGTGAGAGATGAAGCTCATTTTCTTTTAAATTTGGGATTGCGATCAGAATAACCATCACTTCCTTCTCCCATAGATTTTTAATTATTCCTACTCATTCCATAATTTAAGAGAAAATGAGCAACATTTCCCAGCTTTCCTTGCTTGTCAGCGTTGTGGATAAATTCCCATCTCTAATTTCTGATACCATTGTTGAAATTTGATTACCATTAAGGCTAATCAATGAAAAACCTAATTACAAAAATTATGTGAGTAGATTAAATAATTAAGCAAAATAATATGAAAGAGAAGCACCTAATTTAATGTGGAAAACTCTTCTAAATAAGGAAATAACCATAGATATAAAGAGAAAAATTCACTATTAAAAAAGAATTACAATATTAAGAACACAATTTCAATCTTTTTTAAACACTCTTAATCTTTCTTAAGAAGTCTCACTTAAACTGTTATAAAGAATTTTTCTCTCATATACTTAAAAATTTTCAATAACCTCTAAAAATCTCTCATAATCATTTATGATTAAAAATTCTTTTTTAACACTTTAATTGGATAAAAATTTTCATTATCTCGATATGCAAAGAGAGCAAAGGCATCATCTCTCACCACCCTATAAAAATAAGTTATAATTGCACTACACTCTTAATGTGTTTTTCTCTCTCACCTCTCTTTTTGGATTCAATTATAAAATTACTAGTAATATATATTTATAATAAATTATAAATATTAAAGTTAAATTCTCATTAAAATACAAATTTAAGTCGTACGTACTTTCCATATTTGTCACATGATCTTCAAGATTCCTCCCCTTTCAATTCGAATTCCGACATTAACTTGAATTCTAAATTAGGAAACAAAGAAGAAATCACGGAGTGCTCAATTTCCCCCAAGGTATGTGAACACCTCTCCTCATTGTGTCGACACCGTATCATCTCAAACAAACCCCCACATGTAGTGTTAGCAACTTGGTCAGAAGTGTCAACACCTTTGTTTGTTTAAGACAAACTCCAATTACAAGAAATCTAGATATTCCAACAGTCAGGTGAAGCACTTTCCTTTTCTTTTTTTTCATTTTTTTTTTCTCATTTTCAATCTAGGGAGAAGTTAGTGATTTTCCGTTTGGTTGTCAGGTTTCGGAAGTGATTTTCCGAAAAGATAGAAATGCATTTTTCGATGAAGAAAATAAATTTTCTTTTAGCTTACTTTTTAAGTTAAATACTTAATTTGATCCCTCAACTTTAAGAAATGAACATTTTTGATCCCTCAACAATTTTTTGCACTTTTTTGATCCCTCAACTATACGAAATGCACTCCGTTAGTCCTTTTGTTAATTTCGACCGTTAACTCGCTCACGTGGCATTTTTTATTATTTTTTTTATGATGTGGCAAAAGCAAATTGAAAACATATTGACTTGGAATTTTTTTTAATGCCAACTCACATTATTATTATTATTTATATTTTAAAAAAATAAATTAATATAATTTCGTTCATCTTTTTCCTTTCTCTTTTTCTTTTTTTTTTCTTCCTCTTCTTTCTTCCTCGCGGGTCATTGAACCCTCTGCTGGGTTCGGTGGAACCCAGGCGGGGTTCCGTCGAACCCAGCAACTGGGTTCCACCGAACCCAGTTGCTGGGTTCGACGGAACCCAGTGCTGGGTTCCCCCGAACCCAGTTGCTGCCTTGGTTCCATCGAACCCAGATCTGCTGGGTTCGGTGGAACCCAGCAACTGGGTTCCACCGAACCCAGAACCCAGCTCCACTTTTTTTTTGGTTTATATGATTGTTTGCCGTGAGGAATTTTTGGGTAACTAGTTTCTTTTTCTGTTATATGATTGTTTGCCAAGAGATTTCCAAATTGCAGGTTGTTGGGAGAGATTTTTGGACAATTGAGTTCAATGAATCAATTGGGTTCTGTCGAACTTCAATCTTGAAAATGGAAAGAAATGAATCGAGCTGGATTCTGTCGATGTTGAAAATGGAAAGAATACCCTATCGAACTTCAAATGAAAATGGAAAAAACATCGGAAAATCTTGAAAATGGAAAAAACACCAGAAAGAACAGAAACAGTAATCGATGGCCAAAGGAGCAATTGTTAGTGGTGATGTGGGACCCATTGGATGGATTTGGTGCGTTTTTGCCAGGTAGCATGTGACATGGCAAAAGTTTTTTGGCATGTCATCACTTTTTTAAGTTTTGCTCTCCACGTCATCAAAAAAAATATAAAAAATGTCACCTAAGCAGGGTTAACGGCTCAAATTAACAGAAGGACTAACGGAGTGCATTTCGTATAGTTGAGGGATCAAAAAAGTGCAAAAAATTATTGAGGGATCAAAAATATTCATTTCTTAAAGTTGAGGGACCAAATTAAGCATTTAACCTACTTTTTAAATGGTATCTAAACATAAAAAAATATAAAAAATGTTTTCTAGAAATCCATTTCTGATTAACCAAACAGGCGCTAAATCCTAATCACTACTTCTATTTAGGTGCCTATTTTATTTCATTCAAATAACTTTCCTATGGTTTGCAGGCGATAGGAGTGAAATTTTATGTCTCCAAATTAAGAATATTTTAGATTAAAATTTCATTTTGATTCTTCTATTTTAATAAAAAAAAATAATTCCTCTATTTAGTTTTATTTTAATTTGTAAAATTTATTATCCAATCCTTTTTAATGTTTTTGTTGTCCTTTTGAATACGTAACACATGACAAAAGTTTTAAATTAGAGGTAAAAAAAAAAAAAAAAAAAAAGCCTATCTTGTGGGTAAGATTCCTTAAGGGAAGCAATTCAATACTTTCTCAAATGAATCCGACATTGGGAACTCAGGGTTGTGTGGATTACCGTTGACAAAGAAATGCCACAACGAGGAAGAACCAGGAGCACCACCATCAAAATTTGATGAAGAAGAAGATGACTCTGCCACACTCTTTGAATGGAAGTTTGCATTGGCGGGTTATGGGTGTGGTCTGTGGACTAGTGTTGGGACTTAGTCTGGCATACATTGCGTTCACTACAGGAAAACCATGGTGGGTGGTGAAGTAGGTGGAGAAATATCAGCAGAATTTGTTGGAAGATGCAACAGTAGGCATAAGAAGAGAAAAACCGAAAAACCCAACCAACGCTCTTAGTTGAGTAAGTTTCTACAACTCTCTCTATATTATTTGTGATTTAGTGTGTTGTTTCTAAGTTCTATACAATATAACCATAACAAACAAGGCATATTATTATATAATAGTGAAAGTTAATTTTTCTAATTTTGTTTTATTTTATATAGGTGCAAGCAGGTGCAGTTGATTTTCAATCCTGGGAAGATCTGACAACAAATAATGTGTTGCATATATAAGCTTTGTTCCGTGTTGCTCTCGAGTTTGTTTTCGTCTTTTACATGTTCATTGTTGATATGTAGTTGAAGCATCCGGTCTACTTTTGAGTACTATATGAATTTGTGTTGATTTCTATCTGCTCTGCACACAGTTCTATGTATTTTCTTCCTGTAATGTGTTGATCTATCTCTTCATATCATATTTTTCTCTTCCCATAGTTTGGTTGCCTCTGAACGGTGCGTTTTACTGAATAAAAATGAAAATGTCTTAATATGGGACCCCCAAACTTCTCCTTACAGGCTTACACCATATTTCGCCGATCAATGTGGAAGCGGACGAATCTGATGGATGTGTTGTTGGATGCAAGCTGAGCGATTTCGGGGAGGATTAGTACTTAGGAGGGCTGGGTGAGGGACGAACCCAACATCCTCTGCTCTCTAGCCTTCGCCAAACTCAAGTCTTAATTCTTTGGTCAGTGATCTGATTCATGGGCAAGTAATTTTCTTTCTGTCTTAACATATTAATATCTGTCTTACATGGGAAAGTTGTAATTTTTTCTGTGGGGAATAAATTAATGTGTTATCCTTTACTATAACTTAAAAATTTTAGATATTTCTATGCTGCATATGCCTAGGTAGAAATTTAATCTCATTTTGCCCACACAATTTAGAGTTAAGTTTGTTGTTTTTCTGTGAACTTATCAGTGGATATTTCTCTTACAAATGGTACATCTAGCAAGCATCCTAAGATTGAGAGTTTGTGGAGCTAAGTGAATAATGACCCAAGATTATATCCTCAGGAAAGGCTTCTCTATTGTCATGGCTGAAGTAATTGCTTGATGGCTTTGATATTCAGGTAATTGTTTTACTGTTTCAAAGGCTGAGAGTTATTGTTGAAACATGAAAAATGTCTATACCTGTTATTGTCATTGATATTGCGTTGTCTTATGAATTATTTCTTGTATCTGATGAGAAGCTAAAATAAAGAAAGTTGTATTTGATGGCTATTTTTCTTGTCGTGTTTTCCTTTTGTTTTCTTAAGATATTCTATTATTGTTGCCAGGTCACATTTCTCAAGGGAAGCGATTTCGTGTTTTACTTTCTAATTCTATTAATTGAATTCAGCTGCTTTGATTGTTGGGTGGTCAGTGCTGCTTCTGTGCGCTCACTATTATTGAAGATAATGACGCTATAATCTCAATTTTCAGCCTTTAAGGTCAGTTAGTTTCTTGGGTTTGCAGTATAATGTGTAGCTCATTTCATGATAAATTGTGACAAATAATTATATGCATTTTTAGATTTGCATGCCACTGTCTATTCTCATTGTTTTTTATGTTAGTATCTCATTGTCCATTTTTTTTACCAGTAAAGATCTCTTTGAGTAAACCTAGTCTCATGTGTTGGCTTTTCAGAAGATAGAAGTGGGAGTCATTTTGTCAAAACTTGTGCCTGCAACATTTTCATCTATTGCTTCTTTTTCTAAAATGACATGGCCGAGTGAACCAACTACAAATTAAAAATAAGAATAAATGCCTCAACAATTTGCTCAAGTTTAAGTTTGTTTAATTTGTCCATCTGGTTTCTTTTCTGATTTGTCCTAGTATGATGTAAGCCTACCACTTAAAATCATGCATTAATGGCTGTGATTTTCAAGCTTACTTCTGCATCTATGTATTTCTTTGCAATTGTTTGCTTTAAGTAAAATTTTCTGATAATTTAATCTTTTTTTTGGCAGTCTTGATAACTTAATCATGATTTGACATTATAAGGCAATTCATTTATCAAGAATGTGAACTGTTCCATTAAGAAATTGTGTAACAACCTTAATTTATTGTAAGGTTTATTTGTTTAACACCTAGAAACTGTTTCAGTAAGGTCAAACACTTGAATTTGTTTAGCAACCTCAATTTATTGTAAGTTCTATTTGTGGCATTTCTCCTTTTTTTGCTAGCTGCTAATGCAGTTTCCCACTTTTTCTTTCTCATTTTGCTCTATGTACTCACCTAAACTTTGTGTTGCTCTGGGCCTGCATTAACTAAGAGAAATTCCTTATTGTTATGTGATTCAGTTAATTAAAGTGTAATGGAAATTGGGAAAGTAGTTAATATAGGTCTTATGTGTTTTTGTTATATTCAGTCATCAAAGGTGATACTATGTGTTGCTGCTGTCTCCTCATCTTGGATGCTTTTGCTTTTTGAATTTTATTTGCCATTTAGCCTTTATGGGATTAGCACTCTTCTTCATCTTAATTCTTATTTGTTCTTTTTGAAAACCTCTCAAATGTTTTATTGATTTCATCACAGTTTCTCCTTTGACGTTTTTGGTGGATCAATACAGAAATCAGGAAAACTCACCTTGTCACAGAGTGATACATTGTCTACGTTCCTTAACCAGTTCACTTGGCTGTATATAGCATCCTAAAATTAAGTCTGTGGAACTATGAGAGATATATAGGACCCAAGACTTCAGATCCTCAATCAGGAGAGGTTTTCTATTGTCATGGCTGAATTAACTGCTTGTTTTGATGGCTCTGATATTCAGGTACTTATTTGGCAGTCAAAAGCTGAGAATTATTCTTGAATTGAAACATGAAAAATGTCTTTACAAATAAGATCAGTCAACTCGATCTTATTTTGCTGAGATAAATTAGAGTTAAAAGTTGTTGTTCTAGTGGTAAACTCATCAATGAATATTTTTGCTAACTGATGGTATATCCTGCAGGCATCCTAAAATTAAGAATCCATTGAACAAAGAGAGACCAAGAAACATCTTCAGAGGAGGATTCTATTGTCATGGTAGTGTAATTGCTCGTTTTGATGGCTCTGATATTTTCAGGTGTTTTATGTTACTTCTAGAGCCTCAAAGTAGTTGTTGAAACATGACAAAGTTCGGTTATCTTGTGCAGTTGTTTGCTGAGTAATATTATCTCATAACTAAAACGAAGGATTATTGAAAATTGAAAGGTATAATTCATTTATCAAGAATCTAAATTATTTCAGAAGATGTTAAGATCATGTAGCTGATCTAGTGTTCTTTCTTTCTCTTTGTACTTCAGTAACATCATAATCACTGTGGTGTTTTTCATTTTTCAGTTGCCTACATTTCCTGTTCAGGTGTGTCCCAATTTCCTGCTTTTTCTTTCTGATTTTTCTCTGTGAACACTGACCAATGCTTTTATAATTGTGGTCCTGTATTAAGTAAAGAGTCCTCACGTATAAGATACAGTTAAAGTGTAATAGAAATAGACAAAGTTGCTTAGGCAAGCCTTAACTATTTCCATTGTATTAAAGCATCCAAGGTATTATTATGTGTTTGTTGTGCATTCGTTGTGGTAGCTGTTACATTTTGAACTTTATATGCAATTTAGCATATGAGATTAGCATTCTTCTCTTTGTCCTTTGATGAATTATTATTTGTTTGTTTCTAAAGCCTCTTGAATGTCATATTGATGTCATCGCAACCTCACCTTTGACATTTTTGAAGGATCACCCTGGAAAGGGTGAAAAACTCACCCTCTCAATGAGTGACAACATTGGCTGCAATAACTTATTCACTTGGTTCTATATTGCTCTTAGACACTTTGGCACTTGCAGTGGTGCAAATGTGGAAGGTTTGTGCTGTCCTAGATGTTTTGATTTTTTTTTTTCTCTAAAGCTAGAGCCCTCTTTTATGAACAATGGACTTCACTTACTTTTCCAGTGATATTGTAATGGAAGCTGCTTGTTCATGGAGATGCTAGTCAACAGAGATCACCCATGATCAAGTGCCTCGTACTATACATGAACCAACAAAGAGTCGCCTGTGTCTAGCCTTTCATGTACCTAGGAAAGGAATTGTTGAGGTATATGCTTAAATCTTTAATATATGTTTAGATTGGAGAGTGAAGTCTACACATTGAAATCAATTTTCTTTTAAATATAATGTTTTACATTATCTTTAATAAATGTTTACCATCCATCTTCTATTCTACACATCAAAAACCTGACCATTTTTGTTGAACACACCAAATGCAGGTTCGGTAGATGAGAACTAGATTAATTGTTCCTTCTTCCCCTTCAGTTCACTGAGTTAAAGATAACAGATTAGCAGAAACTACTCTTTACACCAAAAATAGCACAAGCCTGATAGAATGGTGGTTGTGATCTTGCCACATTGTCAGCAGATGAAATGGTGGTAAAAGGCGTTGATATGGTGCATAAAGCTCCATGGGAAGGTTTAAGTGAGGAAAAGCAACTTAAGCGCAACAAGGGTTTGGAAGAAGTAGTTAGTGGATGGACTTCGGCCTGTTATAAATGGAATTTGGATAGCCATTGGGCTACAAAAGTACAAATGGATAAGAACTAGGCTTAAGTGCACTCCTTGTGACTATCCATGTGATGGACTTAAATGGAGTCTTTGTTTAGTTGCCCATGTTGGATTGGAATTAAATTTAATGAAGTTATTTCCTTCTTTGTTAAATATATCCATGTACATTCACTTCTTTATCCTTCCTTCTTTCGCTAAAGTTACTTTGTTGAGCATTAATGACTTAATGTTGCTCTTGTAATCTTCCTTCTACGAATATAAAATTAAATTGTCTGTTTCCAAACTCAAAAATACTTTTGCCAGGAACTTAAGGAATCACAGCATGTGGATTATCCACTTCTGGTAGTAAAATGGACGACTCTTTTTTCCGCAAACCTGAACTTGGGATTGTGACCCATCATGGAAAAACACTTCAATTATGCATTTGCAATTAATTTAATTATTATATGGACAAGTTATTTCATCTCCCTTCTCTTATTTTTTGTTCTTCTAAGCTTTTATCGTACTAATAACAATCTTCTTGTGGTCTCGCTATGCTTTTAACATGAGAGACAATGATGTTGATAGAAAGAAAAGAAAAAAAAAAAAGAAAAAAAAATTATTTTAGCAGGTGGAGTTGTCTCAAGTAGCTGGTCCTACGCCATCCCAGTGGTCGCCATCAGTCTGTTCATAACTAACCTTTTCTTAGTCAGTATTTTACAGCACTGTTTTGAAATTTGGTCTAATTTGGTCAGTTTAATCGGCTAAACTGAATTCGATTTTAAAAGCCGGTTGGGTAATAATATTTATTTGTTTAAAGTCAAATTTGGTTGATGTAACCAATTCCTTTCTTTTTTTTACATTTTTACATTTTTAAAATTTTAAAAATTATTCTTATTAGATGGATATTAAGTATAATAACTATTTATAAAATTTTAATTATACAAG